AGAAGGATGATCCTGGACGACGATGGCAAAGAGATCGGCTACGGAAAGGGCGTGGTGAGAGATGAAACATCAACGTCTGGATTTCTCATTTCTAACTATCATTTCATCTTCAAGGTCTTATCCTGGTAGCCGGAGAGAGGATGGAGCTGAGGGAGCTGAGGGATAGCGGGAAAAGGAAAAAGTGAGAGAGAGAGGAGAAGCGAGAGAAGACAGTGTTGAGAGGATTGAGAGACCAGAAATTCTAGAGAGGTTGGGATGAATAGCGAAAGTGTGGGAAGAGGGAAGAGAGGAGGAAGAAGTAGATGAAAAGGACTAGTTAGAATACAAACATGACAGAGAGAGGGAGTAGAAGAGAGAGAGGAAGAGAGAGCGGGGTGGGGTGGGGGGCGGAAGCGAGTGGAGAGGGAATGGGCGAGGAGGAGAAGAAAGGGAAGAAGGGGACATAGGAATGTTTGATAACTGAAGGATGGAATTGAAGTGTTTGAAAAGGAAATAACAAGCTACAACAAGTATCGATGTTGAAAGAAGAATGACAAAAAACGAAGCTTACAAATTCAGATGGAAAATTTCATCATGCTGAGATGATGGTTGACGAGATCTACTTAGCTCAGAATGTTGCTGTGTCTTTGTCGAATCTGTTAGGGATGGTACAACCACAACTTTCAACGCTCCTCCCCTTGCGAATCTGATGTCAGCTGACAGGTTAGTGGGAGAAGAATCAGACGAGAGGATGCAGCGCGCGCCTCTAGCGGCTGCTTTTTTATCCTCCCTCTGTCTCACCTTCCTGGTTGTCATCACCCTCATCTCCCGCCCGAGGGCCCAAGTGGACTTGTCAAGTGCGGGAGCATGGCCGCGCGTCGGAGAGGTCCTTCACAACGTTAGGGTGGAGCATCCTCGTCGATCCAGAGCACACAGGATCAGGAAGGGGGAGCCGCTGGTGACGGCTAAGAGCGAGGAAGAGGCAAGAGAGGAGCTGAAGGGCACCAGCATCCCGGCTGCGACCCAGCAGCTGAGATACACTGGAAGCTATGCCGACACGTCATACGTTGTCAACGCTCCCGCTGGCGATCCCGCAACGGTGTACGCACATCACAGCATCTGGCCGGCGAAGGTAGACCCGAAGATGCCGTACATTGAGACGGTGACGATGATGCTGCTTGCTGCTGTCGCCCCCTCATTGTTTCCTTCAGGTTCATGCAGATGGGACTCCCTACATGCAACCGCTCACAGTCTACGCTCCCCCCGGAGGCGCCGTTGTGAGCTCCATCATGCCTGGAACTTCGGCTAGACCCCCCATCCCCACACGATATGCCATGGTCAACCATGGATCCCCTGCTGCCGAAACCCTGACGCCTTTGCACAGCTTCCTGAAGCAGACAACGCTCCTCTTGACAACACGGTGCGTGCTCGGCTGCTCTTGTGTGTCTGAGAAGTGAGAGGTCGGATGAACAGGTGTATCAGTGCCAGCCGTCGGGGTACATGATTGGACCCGTCGGTTATCATTGCACTCCTGCGTGCAAGGACAGGTTGCCACTTGCGCCAGTCACACGCGTCACTGAGTCACCTGCTCTAGCGCACTCTGGCGGTCGGATTACGGAGACTGCTCTGTCTACCGGTCAGCCATCAAGCCAGGAGGCTTCAAGGACTATTGCGGGTCCGACAAGGTGAGTGTCGTAAAGCACAAGGTCTCTCCTCATGTTCCATGGCAGGACATCGCTGGAGTCCCAGCAACCGTCGCCTGTCCCGTCTCCTGTGGAACTTGCGGCATCGGCCTCTGCTACGTCAAGGAGAAATTCAAGTGAGCTTGTCGGCCATATGTGCTTGCAGCTCTGACTTGATGGCAGGGCTTGCAAGCTGAGCACGTATTCGACCGAAGAGTCCGAGGAGACTGTCGCATGATCGCACCAGCTCAGCGCATAACCCTTGAACTAGGATGGGAGATTCATCTTACATGTAAATCATAAAGCAAGAGAGTGCGAGGTCAGTGCAGTTGAGGGTACCCGAGATCTAGTCGTTGAGTTGAGCCCGTCTGGACCAGCCCGTTCGGAGCAGCGAGTGAACCAAATGCGAAGGGTCACAGAGACGTGTCCGAGTCTGAGACCGATGCCCATGATTCTTTCAGGCCCATGCAACGATGAAACCAACAAGATCGTTTTCTCCTTGTCTTATGTTGTTAAGATACTTCCTGCTCCAGAGCGTCTTCGCACGAGATATGAACGGGTGCCCTCGAGCTGGTCAGCTAGTCACGATGATGATATCCCCGCAGGGCACTGCTGACCGTTGGCGATGTGATGATACGGAATAAGTGTTCCATGCAGACAACGACGAGAGTTGTGACTGATAGTTTTATCAAGAATAAAAAATAAAACAGAAAAAACAAGGATGGATAAGATCAAAATTCTTGAGATAAATGAACAGGGCTGGAATCTCACGACAAGGGGTTGCTTGAAAGAGCAGACTTCATAGCGATAAGATCTGATGCGATAGCATAAACAGGTCTTCGTCTTCATCGCTCAAAGCACATATGCGCCGCGTCTGTAAACAGCAAGCCGGCGTTGTTGCCGAGCTCGGACAGCAATGTCTTTGAGGCGTGCGGCTCCTCGTGCAGGTTCTGGAGGTCCTGACTGATGCTCTCTGCCTCCACGATCATGTCACTGGAAGGCTTTGCCTCGTCCTTGCCTGAGCCATCATCCGATATGCTAACGCTTGGCCGGCGGTTCTGTGGAGATGTGGAGCGGTTCTGCGGGGACGTGGAGCGACTGAGAACGCTCTGAACTCCCAAAGAAACTGGGGTCTGGGATGCAATCCATCGTACCGCATCATCCTGGCCATTTGACTGTGAGAGCTCCTGGAAGAAGTACATGTCCGCGATCGACGGTCTGGTCCGTCCTGCGGTAGGTTCGGCGTCGTTTCCATCTGTGCAATCGGGTTGCCCGTCAAGTTTGCACATCTTCGAGAAACTCTGATGCTGGAATGAGAACCAGGTGGAAGGAGAAAAGAACCGTTGAGAGTCTGCGGGCGATGAGCAGCAAGGGAAGGCAAGGCAGTGACAGCAGCACTGTGCTAGTGAGAGAGCGAGCTGTGCGAGGACGGCACGAGGTTCCAAAGGTTTTTGGGGAACATGGACTTTATTTGTATTGTAACCACCAGATCAAAAAGATTAGAAACGACGCAATATTGCAACGTTTCGATCTTGAGTATTGATGATCTGTCATCACGAGATACCCGCCCAGCAACCTCAAGAGTAAGATTCGCAACCGCTGACTATTTAAAGCAGTTTTAAAAGTAAAATCACGTTACATACTTGTCAGCACTCATGCCATCACCATGGCACAATCATGGCAGGGTCTTTTGAGAGGTGACCCCTACCCCCCATTTACAATGCGTTCACTAGGCATATCACCGGTACTTACCCACAACCTCTTCAGGTCCTATTGCCTCCGTGGCCCTCCGGTCGCCGCACCAGTCATGTCTGTTACGACTGAAGTTCAATTTCCTTCCCTTGCCTCCCTACCCCAGATATTTCATATGTCGACTCATAGTTATTCTTACATAGCTCTCATCTACCCATTTGCGCCCCGGTGCTGGCGCTGCCTCCCTTCCCTTGCCGGCAGATGCCGGTCAGCCATCCCGTCATATCACGAGGTCAAGAGACGTGTAGTAAACTCTCAGTCAATTGGCCCGGCGGGCCCGGGGCTCCGACTCGTCGCCGGGTCTTTCAAAATCAGTCACTCAGTCCGGACAACGGCCCGCCTCAGATCCCCTCCACAACACACCTCGAAGAGACGCCATGGCTTCCATGAGCTTGTCGGCAGGGGGAAGGCGAAGAGCGTCGGGGATGGCGACGATGATGGCGGCTGTGATGGGGCTGCTAGTTGCCATGCTGGTTGTTAACGGCGTCTTGCAATCCTCCAAGGGTGAGGATGAGTACATGCTCGTGCAGATGGGTATGGGAGCGGAGGAGGAGAACGACAAGATGTTGATCAATGCGCTCGGCGCCGAGGACGGAGACACAACCAAGGAGGTGGAGGAGATGACAGAAGAAGAGGTCCTAGCCGCCGAGGAGGCAACTCAAGAAGGGGTAGATGAAGAGATCAACAATGCCCTCGCGGACGCTGAGAGTGCGGCTAAAGGTGCTGAGCTCCCTGCACTGAATATCTTGTCTGTGTACTTGTTCCAGCGGTCCATTTCCACTCATTTTTCTCCTACAACCATTCATCTGCATCATCCTCTGCATCCCCTTCTGCATCCTCCCCTTGCATCCCCTTTCCTGATGTCGTCTTTCCAATGTCCCCCTTGTCGCCTCGAATGTTCCTCCTTCTTCCCCTACTTCCTCTCCCCTCGGTTCTTGTCTTTGCCGCATGTGCTGAACATAGGGTTTGATTGTTCTTTTCCAGCGACGTACGAAAGCGACATCGAGAAGTACAAATCCCAAGAAGCTGGCATGGGTCATTCCGGCTGGGTACAGAGCTGGGCGCGAGCACGGAGGTCCGTAGGACTTGCTCAACCTGTGAGGAGAGCAGAGATGCAGCAGTTGGCCATGGCGCAACGGAGGACGCGAAGAGCGAGATCGTCCTCGGTTCCCATTCCCCTGTGAGCAGGTGCAGGTAGACGAGGATGCTGCCGACGTCGGTCAAGGACGTTGTCGTTTTAATTCATGATGAAAGAGTTAGTAAAATAGCGGTAGAGAAGGTGGACGGAGGAACGAGCCGCCTGCAGCCTCTAGGTGTTGTCTCTCAACTTCTCTGAAGCTGTGGGGGCAGCAAGACGATAGTCAGGGGGAGGAAGCATCAACTTCAGCTCTCACCATACTCCATCTCTGTCTGGGAGTTCCGTGACTCTGCAGCGGCCTAATGATGATGGAAGTCAAAGGAGCATAGAGCGATTCCTCTCACAGACCTCTTGCTTGTGGACCGGGCGAGACTTGGAGTAGGTGTAGTAGCTGAAGGCGGCGAGGCTGATGATGTACCCCACAGACTGCTTGGCAGTGACGATCTCCCCGTAGATCAAGATGCCGTAGAAGACTGGGATGGTGTTCCTGACTTGACTCAGGACCTTGAGCGACGTCGCGCTGGTGGTCTTTATCACTGCTGTGGTGATGAGCTGCACTCCAACCCCCAGCGAGGCTGCCAGGGTGAACATGAAGGGGTTCAGCCAGAGCTTGATGTAGTCTCCCCTCCGTATCATGGTCGGCCCCTCCACGATCATCCCAGCTGTGAAGAGAGCTATCCCCCCAGCAGGAGACAACCAGTACATGTTCTCGAGCACATTCATCTTGATCCCGGATAGGAGGAAATCCGTCATGACCAGCCTGATGGACTCAGCCAGGGCTCCTCCCACCTGCAGCAGCACGCCGAAGGTGGAGATGGTCGCGTCACCGTGGGCGGCCATGGAGGTCCCGAAGCATAGGACAACGAGGGCAAAGCAGCTGCGAGGGGACTCCTTTCGGTTGAGCATGATGTACGTCACGATGGCTGTGACGATGGGAGTGAAAGACTTGAGAAACTGAATGGCTGCCATCCCCATGTACAGGTACTGAGCGTTCCCGAGCGCGAGCGTCGCGGCATGGCAGATTCCAACCGGCAAGCATCGATAAATCCAAAACCTTGGTCCCAGCAGGTCAGCGAAGGAAGGAACATGAGGGGCCATGGCGGCACCTGAACGTGACGGTTGACTCGTACTGCAGCTTCAGCAGGTTCAAGCGCTTCAGGAGCTGCGTGAAGACTGCTGCAAACACAAGGCCGAGGCAGGACACCAGCATGGGATATTTGAATCCTACCTGCGAGGACGAGGGTCAGACGACCAGTAGACAAGGAAGTGAGCTAAGAGGAGAAGAGGCCGAGACTTCTCACCACATCCAAGATCTCTTTGTTCAAGACCATCAGCGACGGCCCCACCACCATGAAGATCAAGATGATCTGTGATGACCCCACGACTCATTACCCACCTCCAACCGCGCGAGAGAACAGGCAGAGGACAGATGCAGGGGGTACACCACCGACGAAGATAGGCGGGGAGAGATAAGGCACGCGAGCAAGCACAAAGCGCACGGATGAAGCCTGTGGGCACATAGGAGAGGCGGCAGGGGATGCGGTGCGTCAAGGTCAGCTGGGGAAGGAGCTCACCAGGATGGTGTAGTACATCTTGATCTTGTCCTCTGACATGTCGTCCAACGGCTCCTCTTCGCTCACAATCCACTCAAGGAACCTCCTCCATGCGCTCTCCTGCGCAGGATCAAGAGCTGCTCCCTCTCCCTGTTCCTCCTTGTCAGCCGTCTCCGCCCATGGCAGGTCCTGCCAGCCCCCGTCCTGTCCCTCATCCCCTCTCAACCCATCTGATGCAGAAACCTCAGCACTGGCACCTCAGTGGCACGGGCGCCGCTGGGCCTGACTGCTGCTGCACCGCCGGGCTGCTGCGCCCCGGCCCGGGCGCCACTCAGTGACTGGCGCCGCAGGCAGCCCGGCATCCGGCGGGGCCGGTCACTGAGGGCCGCGCGCCGGGACCGTGAAATTGGACGGGAGTTCCCGGCCGCCGAGAGTCGGAGTCGCAGTGACGCCGGGTGTGGGGCGCGGCCGGGGCACGGGTGGTGACTGGGACCGGCAGCCGCTTGGGCCCGGCATGGCACAGCCCGGGCGGCAAGCGGCAGCCTGACTCTGAGTCTCAACCGGGCCGCGTCATGCGGCGGTCAGCCGCTTGGCCCGGGAGGCAAGTCGGCATCAGGCTACGAAGCCGCCGCTTGCTTGAAGGACTCGATTGCACAGCCGGTCAGGTACTACAGCACACCCGGTCACCGGGTTGTCACACTGAGCAGTCACTGTCACTGTCACTGGCATTCACTAGCACTGCACTTGTAAACGACGGTCACTCGGCGGAGCTGGTTGACCTCGAGACTGACAGGCCGTTGCCAGCCAGGGCATTTCGTACCATCGTCTCGAAATCTGACAGCGAGATCTCCCCGTTGGTCCCGTGCTCGCTGCAGAAGGCCTGACGGTAGGTAAGTTCGGGCGAGGAGGGATCATAGTTGGCTCCTACCTCCACAGCATCGTCGTCGAGGGTTTGACCGAGACCACGGAGAGCTTCTTTCACCTCGTTCTGTTGCAAGTTGCCGTCCCTGAGTGCTCCGGTCATACTCGAGGCTTGCGGCCGGGCGCCATGCTGCATGCAGGAGAAGGGAAGGCGAGGAGCTTACTTGGATGTATCGTACGTGTCGAAGGCAATCTTGATCCGTTCCTTGAGCTAGGGGACCACATTATTTTGCCTCAAGGCAGCAGCAGGGTCTTACCTTGCTCTCAGACATTCCTCGGAACTGATTCACGATCAACGCCGAGGACTTGGCGAGGACTGAGATGGGTCAATGGAAGGCGGCACAGCTTCTCAGCTCAGCTCACTTGCTCTTGTGTGAGCGAGCTCAGCGTTCACTTCTCTTCTCATGGTTTTGAGCCTCGACAGGACCTTCTCAGCGCTGCAACGAGGCTCGTCAGGACGTGTCAGGCACCCGCAACAGCTGGCTTGTACCTCTCGGAGGAATCAGCAGAGCTGATGTCATTCTTCATCTCTTTGTTCAAAACCTCCTCGAAGTCCGAGTATGTTACTTCCCCGACGTTCTTGAAATCCATCTTGGCAAAGATGCTGCTGAAGTGAGGCTCGTCCACGTACTCCCCAAGATCCTTCATCGCCATACGGGCTTCATCGATGCCCAAGAAACCAAGACCGAGCTTGTCGTACTTGTCAAACACTTCCCTCAGTTTGGGCTGCCGCCAAGTCAGTCCCGCGTCCGTCTTTCTTCAACTCCTTCACACCTTCTCGTCTTGTTTTGGCTTCGCTTTTGGCTTCTCAGGGATCACCTCGCACGTCACCTCCCTGAGGGAATTAAACATCACGTCGACGCTGCCTGTCAGACTGTAGGGCTCACTTGTAGTCTGACGGGAGATACTTCAAAACCCTCAGAGTCCGAGGCGAGAGAGCGCGGCTCCTCATCTTGGCTGTGGGAGTCAAATGAAATCACAATTAGGCGAGAAGAAACACAAGTGTCTGGCAGCTTTCTTACACATCGCCCCAAGAAAATGCTGAGTCATGAGTTCACGTTGCTGGTGAGAGGTCAGCAGAGCGACACGGTGCACGATCAATATGCCACCATGTTTCCTCTCATTGCGTCCGCAAATTTCTCAGCTGCTCCCACGGGATTCGCAATCGAGAAAGATCGTCCTCGATCCGTTGGCAACCCGATGTCTGGCACGGCTGCCTGAGGCTTCACGAAGATCTGCTTAGGGGCTGCCAACCTGCTTCAGCAACCGAGGGACATTTCGATTCACTTCTCACATTTGATGTCTTTTCCTTGATTCGGTTCTGCGTTCGTGGCAGGAGGAGCCGTCAACTTTCTCGAAAGGACCAGGTTCGCCTTGAATCAGCATGACAAAGAAGGCAGTGAAGGTGGGTCAGAAGGACAGAATGACGGGTGAAGGCGTTGGGAATGGCGATTAAACGAAAAGTGCGAAGAAACGAGAAGAGCAGCATGGAGACAAGCGGACAGAGGAAAAGAGAGGGGAAGAGAGAAAACTTGGGGATGAGAGAAAACTTGAGGATGAGAGGAGGCAAGGAGGCAATGTATACCCCTTGCCGGCATCTTGTCACAGGACTCAGACCGTCAGCTTCGCGTTTTGCTTCCGCCAGCATCCGTTTCAGCTTTTCAGTGACTGATTCTGAACTTTCTAGAGGGCAAATGCCATCAGATGAAATCGAAGATCATCAAAGCTAACAACCTGTGTTACCGCTGCCTCCAAGTATCAACATCTCAAAGTCTTTCTGTGTCAGTTCTCCATTCGTACCATGCTCTTTGCAGAATTTCTGACAAGAATAAGAATGCACTGAAAGCACATCTTAGCGCCCTACCTCAACTTGGTCATCCTTCATTTGCATTCCCATCCCTTTCAAAGCAAGCTTGACCTCCTGAGGCTGAAGCTTCCCATCCCTGAAGAAGAAACCTTTGTTAGCATTTTGACACTGAGATTTTCAACCTACCCGCTCAAGTCAAGTTTACGGAACATTGCTGCTGCTTCTTCCTTCTTCTGTCACATTCTTCAGAATCATCTCTCTATGTTTGAAATGAAGCAATCTACCTTGTTGTCATTTCGGGTGTCAAAAATCAATTTCGCAAAATCAGGCAAGGAAAGGCACCCATCTTTACCATGTTTCGAGCAAAACTCCTTTCATCAAGGTCAGAAAAAGGGCAAGGAAAATTAATCTTGAGACCTTGATAGACTCTGCAGGTATGTCTTGTCCAACCTGGGAGAGCGCTTCTTGTATCTCGGAAGGCTGAAGCGTTCCATCCCTAGCAAAGCAAAAGATTCAGCTAGTTCATTGGACGCACTTGCGATTCCACCCATTCTTATCCAGTGCATGGAAAGTCTCCACGATTTGCCCTTTAAGCTATCACTACGATTCAGAACAGAGATCCCTTGAATGAAAGAAGCAACCGCAACGTCTTCTGTGTTGCTTTCGTCGCCTCCCAGTACATGACCGAGCTCGTGCGCTTTTTCAAACAGCCTTGACAGTCGAGCCTGTGTGGAGGCAGTGACAAGAAGCACTTTAAGCACGCTTCATGCACACCGTTTCATCACTTTGAGTTCGCACGAAAAAGTCGCCGTGTGCAGGCTTCGATAGCAGCGCCAGTGCTGTCTTGACATTGTCGGAAGAAACGGCTCTTTCGAACATGTAGCCATGGCCCTTGATGGGATTGCGGATGATTGAAGGAGATTTGCTCACGCTCGACATCCTGATTCGTTACAAGAACCAACGAGTTTAGTCTTGTCAGTGGAGCAGGTTTAAGTAAGGAGACGAGAAATACGCTTTTTAGGCTGCCGAATTAGTTGCGGCGGTCGTAATTACAGGGCAGTGCTAGCTGATGGAGGAAGAGGCGGAAGAGGCTAGGAAGAGGAGGAGGGTACCTGTTGACTAGGAGGAGTGAGCTAGTAGCGAGTTGCAGCGGCGATGAGTCGAGCGGGAGGCAGCAAGGAGGGCAATGAAGGCGACAAGGGAGGAGGAGGCGGAAGGCGTCAAAGGAGAGCAAAAGAGTTGGTAGGGTAGGGGCAAAGGAAGAAGCTAGAAAGGGGGTAGGGTCCTTTCTGTCGCTTCTGTGCCCTCTCTATGTTCATATTGATGGTAGGGGTGGTGCTATTAGTACCGCAAGCTCATTGAAATACTGATGATTGGGGGGGTGGGGTACCCTGGTGGGTCCGAAAACTCCACGAAGAAGAAGGGGTACCTCAAATGACCGACCCTACCGCAGTGGCCGGGAAACTCAGTGGGGTAGTACCGGCATGGTACGGTACTACTTTGGGGGGTGGTAATTTTTGTATGGTGGTCATAGGATACCTTCCTAGGATGGTCCTAGGACATTTTGAACTGTGAATTTACAAAACCGTCATCAATGGACATCAGATGTTAATTGTAAAAGTTGAAAGTACCCGGCGGGGGGTGGACTGAGGGTTATCGGAGGGGGTGGGAGGTCATGGTCGGGGGTCCCGACGGTGACAAAAAAGGACTGAGGGCCGGGCCCGGCGGGGGGGGGGGGTAGTCAGTAAGCATCGCAGTGCTGGTAGGCTAAAGGTAGGGGGGTAGGGTCCGATTCGGAAATCACTCAAAATCTTTTCTTTTGAGTCTCAGTTTTTCGCTGGCAAAAAAAACATTTACTCAAAGTTTCAGTTAAGTACACAAAAAAACCGTCAATCACAGAGTCACGGTGCCGCGGCCCGGCCCGTCAGCGCGGCCGGGCCTCGAGTCGGCGGCGACGGGAGTCCCGGCCGCCGGTCCGATCCGAACTCGGAACCCGGCCGGGCCGCGGCTCCGCGGCCCGCTGATTGGTATCATTACTCCACTGGGCCACGTCCAAGTATGTCACAGCCACCCGTGTAATGAACGACCGGACACGGGGATTAAGTTAACGTTACGTGTGTATCCAAAACTTGATGCCATGATGTGTAATACCCTTAGTCGTGTTACGAGTCTTACATGCGAGAATCATCTCAGCCCTGAGAGCCTCAGCCTACTTTACTAGTTATAGTAAACCAAATCTGTCAGTGTTGACAGTTATTCACAGCTGTAATCTCTTGGCTGTTGATTGAGAGTTAATCACATACGCAATTCCACCACTTCCATCACTCCCTCAGTCACGGTCTGTTCTCAGTGTCGCTAGTACTCGCGTCCGACCTCCGATCGATCAGTGGTGCGGCACGGATGATCACTGCCGTGGCCGGCCAGTGACAGCGGCATGCCTACCGTAGTACGGCGGCCCGGGCCGCAGCCCGGCCGCTTTACAGTCAGATGACTCTGTGATGGAGTCCTGGCAGCAGACTTATCATCGGATGAAATCAGGAGAATTTCAAATCGCGAAAGAACTTCAATCCAACCAACATGCACTTGAGTCAGTGACCGGGTGACAACTCAGTTCAAACCCTTCCGAAAGAAGTTTGCATCAGCAAGACTCAAAAACTCACAGCAATCGTCACGTCTACACTGTACTGCCGTACTGTGATCATCATGCAGGTGTAAATCCAAGTGCCAGTTTCCGATGGTCTTGGAGCAGGGCTCGGGTTTGCTCATGATAGTTTTAAGATGCAATCATTGACATCATGTGGCCGGTCACATTGTGGGGTAGCCTGGCATCGACAAGAAATCCTTCGTCTTTTTTTGTCTTGAAAGAAAGGCTACATGCTTTCCTCCACATGTGATTGACCCTCGTACATGAAGTGGCTCAGGAAAAAGGGCCTTTGTTGTTCTTTTGGAAAAGATAGGCTAACCCTGCCCTGGAGCCACCTCTCTGAATGTTTCTCTCCATTTTCTGCACCCTTACACAAAAATGAGATTCATTCTATGCTCTGAATTCAACAAGGTCAGGATCAATGCCTGTGGCACTGGTTAACATCGACTAGATCCCTCCCAACCTCCTCCAAGTTCACGTCCTCACTCCTCGTCATGCGGCGGACAGGGCGAGGACATGAGAGAGCTGGCGGCGACGTCTTGGTCGACCCAGCAAGCCGCGTGACGGGGCAAGGTAAGGGGTTGCTCCTGTGGCGGACGGACGGGGTGCAATGGGGCGGGGCCGGGGGTGGAACCCCGGGGGGCGAGACGGCCTCGGGGCTACACCCCCATTCAACTACCCCTACTATCGACTGGCTTTCCTCTAGTTTCAAGAGGGTGGTGTTCAGTACCCCCCTGCTCCACCCTGAAAAATGCAGGTCGCTTTACCCGTCATCGGGGCCATAATTTTTCGATATCACCTCTTTTCAGACTTGACTACCCCCAATCTAGCCCAAAAGGTGTATTTCCAGTTGTTTTGCTCGGACCTTTATAACTCTTTTAGAAATTGCATCCCCCTTCGAGTGGCTACCCCCCCAACAGAATTCTCAGTTTGCTTGACCCCCCCAACTTTGTTGAGACCTCAGCCTTTTGCTTCAATTTCTATATATGAGACTATAATATATTTGACCATACCTCTGACCTCCTTCTCTTTGCCTATCGCCTTCCCCACCCCACTATTGATGCACCCCCTATCTCCACCCGGCCTCTGATTTTGGTCTGTCACTACCCCTACCCTCACCAAGGCTAGTACCCCTTTGATATCTGGATACTTTTCTTTCATACCCACCCTATATAGATCTGAAATATAGAAAAGGTATGGGTACTAATGACCCATTTGTTCTTCACACCCCTCCAATTCAGTACCCCACCCCTTTCAAATCACGGGAGATTTCCTTCCCCCCCCTTGCCCGACAGGAGCAGCAAGGGACGACAGGAACAGCGAGAGCAGCGACAAAGGGGGAGCATAGAAGAGGATTCAGTGCAAGGACAAGAGCCGAGTCAAGAAGGCAGGCACTTGGAACGAGGAGGGAAGTACAAGGCAGTGGAAGAGAGGGAGCGAGCAAGGACGAGAGACTAGAGACAGGCGGAAGAGTCGGAACAACAGGAACCCCCCTGCAAGTCTGGTGAGGATAATATCAGTGACGTACAAGACCGGAGAGCTCATCATTGAATGAAAATAGGGGAAAAGAGTGGCGAGACGGTTCCAATATCACCTTACAAACTCGTAGAACATTATCGGATTGTTCGGACGTTTGGCATCTGGAAGGAACAGAGCGTTTTTGTGAAGACTGCAAAATCCTACATATCAAATCATGGCAGAAATGAGCTTTGATTGCAGAAACAGTACAGATCCGTGCATGGCGAGGAATGAGCGCCTGAACGGCTTCCAGGACATGGGACCGAGTGGACCTGCCTCGATCGCCATGGCGAACTTTGCTGACGGCAAGAAGCATATCTGTGCCAAGAGCATGAGCGGAAGCGATGACATGTTCTCACATCCCGAGAAAGCGTCTGGTCCCGTTGACATCTTCGAGGAGGCGATGCAGGGAGGAGACTCATCGATGGACTTGGGGCAAGACTTTTCGTTGCGGCTCAACTACTGCAGGACGCTGTCCAGGACGTGCCAGCCGCACTGGGACATGAATCTTGATCCCTCCCTCCTCCTCGACCGCAAGCGCGCCATGACAAATCACTTGCAGCCCAAGTTTCTCATCAGGAAGTTTGCTCCTCTGACCCGGAACAACGCGTGCCTGGACCTCGCAAGTCTTGACATGTGAGAAGCTGGAAGATGAGCTGTTCGGGTTGCAAACAGTAGCTCGTGTAGATTACAGAGAACATCTTTATCATCACATGGTAGATAGAAGACATATGTACATAGGAAGATACTGCCTTGCGCAGCAGCAATCAGGTGTTCCGTTCTGCTTCATTCCACCGAGATGTCCGGGGGACCAGCGTCACGAGGAAAAGCGATGTTGCCGGATGGTGTGAAGAGCTGCGAACAGACAGCACGTCAGCAGCAGTTGAGAGGAGGAGGAGGAGGAGGAGGAGGAGGAGGAGGAGGAGGTCCAACTGTGAATGTGAATAAACGTGCTCTAGTTTGACCAACCCCCTCCTCACCTCGCTGCAGCTGCTCTCCTTGAAGGAAGACGACTTGCGCATCATCGGCCTCTTCTGCGCGTCTTGGATGGCTGACCATGAGAGAGAGTTCTCAGATGAAGACCTGCACGGCTGTCATGAGCGAGGGGGGCTGACGGGAGCACGGGAGCACGGGAGGAAGGGAGGGAGGAATGGCTGATGGGAGGAAGGGAGGGGACGGGTGGGAGGAGTCGATACGAGGTGGATCGAGCGAGATTGGGGCCAGGAAGGATGTTTCTACCTCGTGAGCCCTCTCCCTTGGTTCATGAGGAGGCCGTAGAACTTTCATGCGCGTCAGGGAGTTGGCAAGTTTCTCTTGCTCACCTCTTGCTGCTTCCTCCTGCTGGGCCTGACTCGCTCCTCGTCGCCGCCCTTATGGTGATGGTGATGGCGATGATGATGCCCGGATGCCCTCTCCTCCCCTCCGGCCTCAGGACCGTGACCATGTCGAGCGCGCTGCGGCTGCGGCTGCTCGTGCTCGCCTTCTACTTTGATCCATGCAGCCTGTCTGGAGGAGGAGAGTTAGCGGCGGAGAGGAGGGCAAGAGAGCTGACCGGACGGGAGGATTGTCTGTACTGCCGGGCCGCTGGGGAAGCAGTGAGTGTCAGGGAAGGAGGGAAAGGGAGGCGAGGAAGAGCTATAGATAGACCAGAGGAGGAGAGGTCGGAGGGAGACATTTGAGAGGATGGCAGAAGGTTTCCCGTGACTTGCGTGAAAAAGAGGATGATGAAGAAGGGAGGAGGGGGAGGGAGGAGTGGAAGGAGCGGGCGAGTGATGGGAGAAGCGAAAAGACTCGCTGACCTTCTCCCGCTTCTTCTTCTCTTCGTGCCAACCCATCTCGCTGACAGAAGACTTCCTGTCCTTGAGGAGACGGAGGCTCGGGTTGGCAAAGTTGTCGAGGTTGACTCGCTTCCATTTCCTCTCCTCCTGATGACAACCGAGTGTGAGAGAGGACAGGAGGAGGAGGAGGAGGAGGAGGAGGAGGAGGAGGAGGAGGAGGAGGAGGAGGA